ACTGCGTCCAGCTCTGGAGCCCTCAGCACAAGAAGGACATGGAAGTGTTGGAGCGGGTCCAGAGGAGGGCCACAAAAATGATCCGAGGGCTGGAGCACCTCTCCTATGAGGACAGGCTGAGGGAGTTGGGCTTGTTCAGCCTGGAGAAGAGAAGGCTGTGGGGAGACCTGATTGCGGCCTTTCAGTACCTAAAGGGGGCCTATAGGAAAGACGGGGAAAATCTTTTTAGTAGGGCCAGCAGTGACAAGACAAGGGGTAATGGTTTTAAACTAAACCAGGGTAGGTTTAGACTAGATATAAGGAAGAAGTTCTTTACAATGAGGGTGGTGAAACACTGGAACAGGTTGCCCAGAGAGGTGGTGGAGGCCCCATCCCTGGAAACATTCAAGGCCAGGTAGGACGGGGCTCTGAGCAGCCTGATCTAGTTAGCGGTGTCCCTGCTCCTGCAGGGGGGTTGGACTAGATGACCTCTAGGGGTCCCTTCCAACCCAAAACATTCTATGATTCTATGCTGCTTCGGAGCAAGCCAGTCAATTCAGGCACAGAGAACATTGCCATTTCTATCTTGCTAACAACCCTGTGTGAGATACCAAGGGAGTGTTATACCATATTATGCCAGCTAAGTTATACTTTATATTCAGAATGTATTGCTTTTTTGTATTTTTGTATTAATTAATGGGCTCACATTTAATTAATGGAGTCATGTTAATCTAACGTGAACCACCCCTGCTGTTCTAGAGATCTTTGGATCTTGGTGTGGGGAACTGAAAGGAGTCCTTTTCTTGGGGGAAGAAGTCCTTTCAGCAGGGAACAGAGGGAGGTCTTGAACTAAAAGGAATTCCCTTCTTTGTCAGTAGGAATTTCTGTGTGGAGGGAGAAACTCACATTTCAGGACCTTCTTGAATATAATCGTGGTGAGGAACATCCTGTCAGTGTGCTCAGTCATCTGAAGAGGTTACAGCAAGCCCTTCTCCGGTTCCCCTTTTCTGACTTGGTAATCCTTCCTCTTAGTTTTAGCGTGTAGATTCCACCCAACAGTGCTCATCTTCCTTCCTTAGTATTTTTACCCTCTCAAAGCCCAACTGGGTGGTCTTGTATTGTGCATAATGTTTTGGGGCTGTTTCCTTCTTTTACATCTTTCTGAACCCTCTGCTAACAACAGTCTATTTCCTTATCCATTCTCCCTCATTCTCCTTGCTTTAGCTGTGGCTGTTGCACAGTCAGATGAGACTGAGTTCCTAACTTCGGTTGGTTTGACTCTCCAGGTAGTTTGAGATGAGAGGGAGAGAGTAGTGAACATGTACTCTGGCCATCCTGCTTCTTTTGGTGTGGATTTGCTCAGAATGCAAATGGCTCTTTTCTGCCTTTTAAACCACTCTGAATGAAGTAGGTTCTGGAGCAAGTTATACAAACAATTCAGGTATTTCCCAATTCATTAGGTGAGAGCAGACCTGCAATACAAAACTCTTCACTGTTAACTAATATTAGGTTTATTTATTGCAAGTACTTATGTCCATCCATGCATCTTCCAGTGTGTGTCTCTGTATAATGGTGAGGAGCTGCCATATTTCTCCTTTATTGGTAGGTTCAGTGATAAGGATGGTTTTGTATGTTTTAAGGCTGTGTCCTTGTTCTGGAATATTTTGAGTTATGTTGTCTTGGAAACTGACTTCACTAAAGGTTGGCATATGGTTAACATACAGATTATTTTTATCTTACTCTTTTCCCATTGTCTTGTTCATGCTGATTTAGTGTATCTATTTTTCTAGGAACCAAAGCCTTCTGCTGTTGATTCATGTTACCTACACAAAATTTACTATTGAAGTGTTGTAGAAAATAACATTCTCGAAGCAGATATATTCTGAGTTCATGGCTACTGTATGTGAATAAAGATATATATAAATAAAAAGCTATGGCAGGAAGCCTTCTGTAGACAGTTGCTCTTTATGCTTGATTATAGAAAGTTTAGAAATAACTTTGTCTTATTGCTGAGATGATGACTTTCAGAGTTGCAAAGGAATGATATAAACTGTAGTGAGTATGCGTAAGTGCTGACTGACTTTCCTGGTATACTAATGTCGCTTTTAAAGCATGGTTACTTCTTTATGGCATCTGGGTTATGCAGTTTATAAGGAGTGAAAACACAGGTAGTTTGAAAAGTTCTAGTGGTGTGCACACACGTGCATATGCACACCTTCGCTATCCTCTTGGAGGTGTGGGTGCTCTTACTGCATGTGTACCTGTGCTGCTCCCTACAACTTACAGGTGAGAAAGCACCCCATGAGCTTACATACGTATTGTACCTCAGGTGCAAGTCCCTGTGTGTTGCACCCCACACTGGCAGCCCGCTGTCTGAATGCAGACTACTAGCAGCATTTGCCAGGGAGGGTGCTCTGTCTGGGCTAGGCCAATACCCACACAGTGGCTTGTGCCTGTACCAAACCAAGCTTTGACTGCTGCTGTTCCCACTTCAGGTTCTCTTCTGACATTTTTTTTGTTATTTTCTTACAATTTGGGCTGATGCCTCCTTCAAAAGTCATCTTGTAATTCCTCAGCTACTGTTTAATAGCACAGTGAGTTGGGAGTTGATAGTCTTCCTCTTCAACATGATAAGTTTGGAGCAAATACTGCTGAGTTTTAAGTATTCAACCCCACCCCAAGTATTTACACTCACAGGCTTAACAGGAGTTGTTATCCAGGCAATTTGCTGAGGCTGGGCCATGCAGGCACTCCCCCCGGTTGTAATGTTGTAATATATATAGTTATTAGAGTAGACTTTGTATTTTACTTGGACTAGTGCACTTTGATGCAAGTGTTAGGATCGCTATCACCATCTTAACTTCAGGAACAGAAGACAGGAAAGTCTAGCAGTCAGAACATATGACTGAGATGCAGTTTACTCAGTTGTTGTTGTTACTATACATATGAGCACAGATCTAGAACTCTTAGTCCTGGCTCAGGACTCCCACTGTGCACTAAAAATTTGTACAAACATATCTGTTCAGTCTTTACTATTTGGCTAGCCTTTGGTTCCCTTGGTTGTGTTTGATCTTCCCCTAACCCCCTCAGAATCATTATTCAGTGTTAATTATGAATTTACCTGCTTAATACAAGTATGATGACTTTTATAGGGTGAACATGAAAATTTGAATTTCAGTAATTAAGATCACAACCACACATCAGTAGTTCCTAGCCTTTTTCAATCTGCAGACCCTTAAATATTTGCTGGTGTAGATGCTATTCTGTGGCCTGTACATTAAAGCCTATTGACAGTAGGCTTGCTTTTCTGAGTTTAATTTTTGCTGACCCCTTTGAAGTACCCCAAAGATCTCAAGGCACTTGTGGAATGTAAGTTGACTACCCTGAATTTTGTTATTGTAACTACTTGTTATTGAATATGTTTTTTTTTTTTTTTTTCCATTTGCATAAATTTCCTTGACTTTCAATTACTGTGCTGGAAGCTGTGGTGTGTTTTTTCTCAGTATGGTCCATTGTTGGCCTCTCAGGTTTTCACACGTATTTGATCAGCTCCAATCAAACAACAAATGAAGATGTAAGTTCATAGTATATTTCTACATATATGTTTCTAAATAGTAATGAGGAGGTTTTTCTCTATTATTCTTGGAGAAG